TTGGAAAACTTGGTCCTGAGTTGTTGGAGTTTGTTCAGAGAGACAGCGATGATTTTTGGGTGTCAGGAAAGCCAAGAGCATCGCAGACTGATGCCCTTTCTCCCCTCCCCACCCCCCACCCCACCCCCAGTGTCCAGGTTGACCTGCAGGTGATGCTGTGCCCTCTAGGCCCCAGTGGTGGTGGCTGCCTCGGCCCCAGCAAGGACCAGAACCAAAGGGCAGGGCTGCTACCGTTCGTGGCTCGGGCACTCTGCCCAGGGGACCCCCCCCCCCCCCCCCAAGCTCCCCGTGTTTGGTCTCCAGACAGTTGGTGTGCAGGAAGGTTTTTCTCTATCTTGTGCTGTGGGCAGTTCTGGCAGCAGGGACTGGTTGGGCCACCCTGCCGGGTGCAAGTAATCTGAGCCAGCCTCCCCTGGTGGGAACCTGGGTGCCTCCTCAAGTCCAGGACCCATAGTGCCCAGCTGGACCTGAAGAGCCCTAGTCATTCATGCTAAACTTCTGCCGTCACAAAGGCCAGCTGCCCATACCTGTGGTAGCTTGGAGCCCGCACAGGCACCAGTTTGATTTCACTTAAAGCCACTCTTTGAAAGAAAATATTTAAAGGGCACCATCAACAATTAACGCAGAAATATATGCCCCCATCGCCCCCGCTGTTGAGAGCGCTGAGAGCCGCTGCCACTCTTCCACCTTGCGCCTGCTGCCATGCCACCGCCGACTTCTCTCCTCCACAACAAACACTTCGAATTCCTGCTTTGCTTTTGTATTTGATTTAGCCTGGTACAGATGGAAAGTAGGGTTTCTCCCAGCACAGCTGATTATAAATACTTCCTTAAGATTTGGTATAAAATGGGACCACAGAGGTAATACAATGGGCAAGGAGCTTGCCTTGCACAGAGCTGACTTGGTTTCATCCCTGACACAACATGGGGTCTCCTGAGGGCTCCTTGCACAGAGCCAGAAATAAGCCCTAAACACTACCAGCTGTGGCCCAAAGCTAAAGGAAAAAAAGATCTAATATAAATTTAGGATGCTTTCTATTACTGCTTCGTCTACATTGTTAGTGTTTTGGTATGCACTGAACTCCAGTTGATTATGTTTCTTTCTGAGTGGGACTTGTATAGTTTGTGTTTTTGGATCTTTGCATGGTTTCGTCTCTCACTATATACATTGTCTGTGAAAATACCTTTCCTGGAATCTTTCTTTTTGAGTATGCTTTGTAAAGAATCCACATACGAGCTTACATACTTAAGGGTCAGTACTACTCACACCAGCTTTCTTAATTCTTTCTTGTATTTTGATAGTCATAGTATCTCACTCTACCTCAAATCAGAGTATGTGTTGATCATTTATTGTCCCATTTAGTTTAAGAAGGGCAAAAACTTTGCCTGTCTAGTTTATTACTGGGCTCTAGGAACCTGTAATGAATAGTGCACAGGCTATAGTAGACTTGCAGTATAGAGAGAAAACCCTTTTTTGAAGAAAGGGAGAGATTGTAGTTTATTGACTAATGCTGATAATCTAATCAGCTAAAAACTCAGGATCATTTTTAAAACTTTTAATAGGAAATCATGTAAATGTGTAAGATTTTTACATGGGAGCAGTACTGGATAACATCGCAGTAAATATGTTAGATTTTTTAAAATTAGAACTGAATTCGTAATACAAAGCCTCTTAAATGTATGATAAAAAACCTATTTATGAAAGGGTTTAAGTGATTAAATTATTTTTATATATCTAAATTTAAGAACAGTTATAAAATGTTTAGTTTCAATAATAACAAAGATTCATAGTCTGCAAATCATATTTTTGTTTCTAATTATACTAGTATGTGTGAGAGAGATAGCCAGTTTCTGTTAGAGAATATTTAAGGTAACTACTGTGTGCATATCATAAAATAGACTTTGTAAAAAATGCACTGCACATTAACATTTTGTTTTCTAATCATTCCTGGAATCATTTGACTTAACAAAGTTGTGCTTTAGGTCTAAACTAAAGTGCATACAATGTAATAAAAGGTATTTATTTATTGGCATACTTTTAGAAAAAGAATCTGAATGTTAATGTTCAGTAGGAATCACATTAACTCAACATATATTGCACCTTTTAATTGTTCTTTCGGCAAAGAATTAAAATTGCTTGAGGGGCCAAAGACAGTATAGGTGCTAAGTTACTTGCCTGACATGTGTCTACCAAGTTGACCCCTCAGCATCAGCATGGTGGCCCAGGGTATTCCCTGCCACAGTGTAGCGTCTGTGTGCTGAACCGCCAGCTTGGTTGACCAAGAATTGCTGGTTATGGCCCCCGCGCTTTCTGAGTACCACTTGGGAGGTCTCTCTCCCAAGAAATTAAAATTGATTGAAATAATCTAAACATAATTTGTTCTCTGTATCAACTTAAAAGTTACTGCCAAGTCCTGTGAATTACGGACTATCTCATATTTCTCCTGCTCCCTCCCTTGTTTCTTTCTTTGTTTCTTCCTTAGTCTATTAACTTCTCTTATTTTTCTGTATGTCCAAGTGAAGACTTCTTAAATTATTTACTGTTTGTTATTTTAAAGTATTTGCAGCTTCTATTCAGATTTCGAACTCTTTCCAATCATTTTTTTTTGGGGGGTAGATAGGATAATAGTCCAAGTCATACTTTGATGTTTTTGTCCTGGAGTAATAATAGAATGTTTGAGAAAAAATGACCATTATATTTTTAGCTGTTTATGTAATAAATTTTTAAAGGACATTTTAAACTTATTCTTTAGTTTCTTTTGTGGTCAGGGGATTTTAATTAGTAAACTACTATTGAAGTTTAAAGTCATTTGTCCGGTAGAAAATAACTTTTTACCACACTGATTTTACTTTCTTTATTTTGGGTTTTTTGTGGGGCTATTCCCAGCAGTGCTCGGGGCTTTTTTCTAAGTAAGATACTAGTGGGGCTCGGGGAGCTAAGTGGGGTGCCAGAGATTGAACGCAGGTCAACTTCATGCTAGGCAATTGGCCCTACTCACTGTACTCTCTGTCGCCCAAAGTGATTTTAATATTTCTTAAAAGAAGTTTTGTGATTGATACAGTATTTATTGGAAGTGGTATTGTGAAAGGTGCTTACTATTAGGAAGCATGAAGGAGATAGAATACTTTCATATTTAAATGTGTTATGGATTGCTGACAAAATTAGATTGGTGTGTTAGGTTTATTTAAATATAACAGACAAAATATTTCAGACTTTCTAAGTCATGAATGTCAGATGTATACGGGAAAGGAGATCAGTTTTTAGAGGTTTGTAATTTTTTTTGTTTCCTTGACATTGTGTTAAAGGAAAAGCAATTCTTTTTCGTAGGGGAAATCAGAAATCCTATTACTGTTCTAGTTGCTTCCTCATTTTTATTGTTTGACTATAGTGCATATTTAAGACTTAGAAAATAAGGAAGTATATAATAGAATGATTTTAGACTGGGAGCACAGTAACCTCATTGTTGATTTCAGCACTTACAGGTTATGTGACCTTTAGTGCTTTCCTACCAGTTGCCTTCTTTATCTTATGCAAAATGTTTGTTTATTTAGGATCCTGCTTAATAAATACATCCAAAGCTGAATATCTGATTGCTGTTGTTACTGAAAGATCTGTACTGAGAACTGTTACATTTATTAAACACTTATTAGATTTACCTCTTTATATTTTCAGACTTTAGAAACTATATATATGTGTGTATATATATATATACTCTTGTTTACATTTAAATTTTATGATAACAGAAAGACCATCATTCTTAACAAAAATCCTCTTATCCTAAGATACATATTTTTATTTCCTATCTTATGCACTAGTATATGTTGGAGTGTGCTTTCTTTCCCCAGTTGCCCTATAATCAGGAAACTAATATTTCTTATTTGTATTCTGATGATGTCACCATCAGCCACTTACTCTAAACCTGGAATCTTGCTGGTCTCTATATCAGATATCACTTCTCTATAAAGTACTTCTGTTACCTTACCATTGTTTAAAATTATATTCCTTTGGTGATGTTTTCATACTTTGGAGAATTTGTGACACTGTTTCAGAATATAATTAGCTATATAAATCATTCTTTTCTACTGATTATAATCCTCTTAGGGACATGCACAAGTTTTTACTTGTTTAATTATGGATTTTGATTGTTGCTTAATTTAACATAGAAATATCCAAATGTGCTTATATATACATGTTTTTATTTATATAGTTTAATAATTTTTTGTGTATGCTGCCACATTCTGCTACATTCTACATGAAGAAAAGTTAAACTGGCATAGCATTTCACGAATATAATATGCCTTCAAAGAATTTATGTTCTATTAGATAAAAAGATATTGCTACTTGTGATCAGGGGTGTTGCTCAATGGTAGAGCCACATCCTTGCATTTGTGAAGCCGTGGGCTTGATATCCTCAGTACTGGCAAAAAAGGGAAAATGTTGACACAGTAAATTTGAAAGGCATTGTACATGCATGTCATTAAATTTATATCACTTGTATATTATGTGTGTCTAAATCAGTTTTTCTCATTTGATTTTTGTGTTATCTCTCCATTATACGGTTATATGTATGTGAGACTTCTATTGCTTGGATACATCCCAATTTTTGTATATAAAAAAATAAACTTTTCTATTTGAGTTTCACCTTTTAAAAATGAATTTATTAAGAATAAAGTAATTGCACTTACTTAGAGACTTTGTGATGCTGTATGTCTTTTTGTTTTCTTTAGCCTATTTTTTCCTTAGGTGAAATAATGATGCCACTCTGGTTTCATTTGGAATAACTTGGAAATTCTTTTATTGTAATTAAAAATTAATTATGCCAGCACATTTTGATTTTATACCGTTTTTACTTTCTTAAGAAACATGAAATTGGTTATATAATGTTCTGTGGTTTTCTGAGAAATGTAAGTCTGAATCACATTAATCTGTTGTACAGATTTATAAAGTGTAAATGCAATGTATACTTTCTTTATGCTCTAATATAATTAATTTGTTTCTAGATGCTGGCATCACCATCTACATCAGGTCAGCTGTCTCAGTTTGGGGCAAGTTTATACGGGCAACAAAGTAAGAATTTCGTATTTATTTTGGGATACTTTATTTAAAAAAAAAAACTTGTGCATTTATTTTAGGATTTAAAAGGAAAGATACTTTTCTGTTTTCCATATATTCCCTACACACAGCAAAAAAACATTGCAGCCTTTCTGATTCAAATTTCATTATTTAGATATAGGACAAATTAAAGTTTATTTTTGCATCTTTTGTGTCTGTGTTCCTTTAAACTATTTTTGAGGAAAAATTTGCTAAACAAAAAAGTTCTTTTTTCAGTTGAGTAAGTTGGGTTTTGGTATTTTATTAGTGTAAGACCATTAATAGTTTATGAAGTGTTCTCTTTGTTTAGCAAATATTTCTTCTTTAACTCAGTCCTAAGTTTACAATTTATATTTTTGGCTCACAGTTCAATGTTCTCATATATATATGTGTATATATATATATATAATATTTTCTTTGAAGTATTAATGATACTTTTACAGTGATTAGAACAGTGCCTGGCGCATAGTAAGCGCTCAATAAATGTTATCACAAAGTTTTTGTTAAATGAAATTATAAAGTTTCCTAATTGTCCATTATTAATATTTTATTATCACTTAGTATCAGACTGCTAACTTCTCATCTTTAATAGGATAGGCATAGTGAATAAGAGCCAAGTTCACATTTTACATTATAGACAGCTTCAGAGAAAAGCCGATTATTTGTATTATACTCTTTGTCAGGATAATTAAAAGTGTTTTGATAGGAATCAGCATAGTTTGTTTTATCACTTTTACCCTTTAAGTAAAATTTGAAATTTACTAGAGGAAGAAATCTAATTGTTAGTTTCTTTCTACCTTTTTTTCTCTCCAAATTTGTCACCATCTTCTTGCTATGTAATGTAATGTTATTTGATACAGAATTAGTAAAATTATTAATTGCTTGTCAATTGATGGAATACTTTTTGGAAATTTTTTACATCTGGCTGTAGAAATAGTATAGTGGGTCACGTGTTTGCTTTACATGCAGACAATTTGATTTCGATACACAGCACCACCTGTGATTCGCTGTGCCCCACCAGGAGTGATCTCTGAGCACAGAACCAGGAGTAAGCTCTGAGCACTGTTGGGTGTTACCCAAAAACCAAAAAAAAATTTTAAAAAATTTTTTTACAAATTAAAAAATGGTTGATTATCTACAAATGTTTGTACTACTTGTTGAGGGGATATTATGTTTAATATTTCTTTACGTACTACAAAGTAAAATATTTTTACATTTGTTTTACACTTTTTGTGTAACTTTTACAATGAAAATATATCAATTTAAAGCTGCCCTTTGTTAAAAAGTTTGGCCTATGGTAAAACACAATAGAAAGAGATGTACAATTTAGAAAAATTACACTTGAGATTATTTTGTGAAGAATGATGGTTATAATACCTTTCAGAGTTTTAAAGTCATACCCAAGGTTTAACTTCCGAATGTGAAGATGTAATTAATTTAAAATAATGGAATTTGATATATGTTTAAAACAATTGCTTTATGACAGTTGTATAGTGATCTCTTGGTTTGTCTAAATGATTGTATTATTAAGGTTATACAAAGGTAAGAAATGTACAGTTGTTTTCATTAGAAAATCTATATGATGGTACTTACCTGTTTAAATAGAAGCCACAGACTTGAGAAATAGTACAGTGGTAAGGCTGTTGCTTTGCATGTAGCTGAGTCTGATTTCTGACCCTCCAGGTGTTCCCCCAAACACCATTAAAGAGTGATCTTTTAGCACACAACCCAGGATTAAGCCCTGAGCATGGCTTCGTGGGTTTAAGAACCATCAATCAATCAGTAAAATTAAAAAAAGACACAAATGACAAATACTTCATACTGACATTAGTATATTAAGTGGCTGTATTTTATGGCAGTGATGAACCAATATTCTCATATATGGCTTGCTTTTAAGTGGACATTTTAGGTATTAGCCTATGAGAAAATAGAATCTTAGATTAACTGGAATTGTAGAGGTCTTAAGGCAAGGTACAATTACTCCTTTCCTGGATACATATTTAAAAGCTACAATTAGTGAATAAAAGAGGTTGGATTCCCAGTCTTGCTGAGTTAGGGTAGACCTGAAAGAGCCAAGAGAAATGATTTATCTGATATGTAATCAATCAGAATATATACCCTATCAGAGTCTTAAAGAGTAGGACTTCAGTAGTATAACACTTAAATGGTAGGATCTCAAAGGTATAAGAGCACCAGAAAGTTGAGATTTGAGTGGCTGAGTTTAATAAAGGATAGGAAGATAAACGGAATAAGCAAAAGGGAGTATTTTATTGATGTTATTCTTATGACAGACAGCTATAATAATTGTGCTTTGGGATTAATAGAGTTAATATTTTGTCGTCGTCGTTATAGGGTTTTTTTTTTTTTTTGGTTTGGGGGCCACATCCAGTGGTGCTCAGCTGCTATTACTGGCTCTGTACTTCTAAAGGTGCTCAGGGGATTATGTGGTGTCAGGAATCAAATCAGGAGTAGTTACATGCAAGTCAAGCACCTTTACCCTTCTGCTCTCTCTTTCAGAGTCAGGTCTAAAACGTGGTTGGTTGGTTGGTTGGTTGGTTGGTTGGTTGGTTGGTTTGCCTTCAAGTACATTGTGTTTCACCATTAACTAAATCTGTATTTAGATTACTAAAGTTCAGTAGGGATTTGCACTTTCATAATAGAGGTTTACCATCTGTTTATAATTTAATGGTTGGAGAGGTCTGAAGTAGAAAAGTGAAGAAGAAAAAGTGCTCTTTCCATGTAACAGGCTTGCTGAGATAAAACATGATAGAGGTTATTCTCATAGAATGAATACAGATTTGCATAAATCTATATTTTGCCAGATATGGGTGGAATTTGATCATGGAACAAATAAGGGTACCAAGAAAATGCTGAACTCGAATGACTTTGTATAATTGCAGGTTCAGTATAATGTGACTGTCTCCAGATACATAATTTTTCATCCAAGAGTTATGTGACTCCAGGAGTTCTGTCTACCAAGTGATAACTGGAAGCCAGTGAGAGGGAAAAGGAGTCTTTTCATATTCAAGTTGCTTGATATCATCTACTTGTCTCTTTTGAGTATTTCCATAAGATCTTAGGTACATTTTGACAGTTTTAAGAACCCCCCGAGATTCTGAAGCTCTCTGAAGAATTGAAATAAACAGAAAACAGGAATTAACACCTGTTTATATATTGAAATTTAGTGTTGTCATAGTTGTACTGTTTTTTCTTAGCTGTCAACAGAATTTATCGTCATGAAGGTCTAGAGCAAAAGCACAGTACAATTTATTAGTGTTCCCAGGCAAGAGAGAGAGTATGTATGGTGAGGTTGTATGCACTTACCTTGGACCCCGCTGACCCAGTGACCCTGGCACCCTTAAGGCCCTCTGAGCCCAGAAGGAGTAAGCCCTGAGCCAGCTGGGGATGGTCCCCAAAGAAAACAAACCAAAAAAATCAGTTTATTAGTGTTTCCTACATGCCTGTTCCTTTAAGAGACAGGATTACATTACTTTGTAAACATAACTGTGTCAACATGTGTTGAGGACTGTAGTTTCTGAATGTAGCTAAATGTCTGCATTTAGCTCACTTGATTAATATCTTTTTACACATTTTTTTCTGAATTCTCAGAGAATTTGGACCTCTCGTTGAGAAGGGAAATAAAGTTGTCTTTCTCTGATCTGGACTTCTGGCTGAAAGTGTGGCATACTACTATGCTTTCAACAAAGTCCATTGACCTGTTTCAAAAACCTGTATGAAGGGCACTTTTGTGAAGAATCAGACCATTGGTGGAATGGTTCAGAATTTATACTACTGACAGTTTGATTAGGGAAAAGATTCATTTTTAGGAACTTTAGGAAATTGAAGGGCCTTTTTTTACAGTTCCATAAATTAATACAGTGGGAATTCTTCATCAAGAAGCTTATGTTATGATTGGGGAAGTCAAGGCAAATCTATATATAAAATAATAGCTAAATTGTTGATTCATAGACTAACAGGTAGAAATTAAATTTTGAAGAGAAAGACATGATATATTGCTATGAGAAGATTTCAAAATGTTGGTAGGAATTAAGCTTAACTTACTTTAGTGAGTGCTTATTATTAATATATTTTACTGTGTAGGTATGTTGTGGAAGAGATTATTCCCTTTTATCTCTGAAGGTGTACCTACTGTTGTTGTATTAATGCATTTATTTAATGAATGTCTTCATTGTGTTTGTATCCAAAGAACTCTGTCCATGATGGACACTCACTAAATGGTTGTTGAAGGTATGGTGAGCCAGATATGGCATTTACGTATCATCTAGTAGGATAAGTGTATATTACTGAAGGGTTAGAATATAGAGAAGTAAGAATAGTTATATATCTTGCTTATTGAGCAAAAAATAATTTAAATAAGGATATTTTTGAATTGGCTTTAAGGAGACTATGGGTGTGATTACCATAGTTATTAATGTGAACAACATCTGAGCATGGAAAAATACAGAATCTGTCTTGTTTATTAAACCAGTGGAAACCTATTAGACTTTCTGCTAAAAAAAAAAGTAAAATCATCATGATTTTGAATATATACTAAGATCTTTGTTTCTATGCTAGAACATAGTTATAGCATGCAGCATACATTTAGGGCTTTTTGGGGTGGAGGGGGGCTTCTTTTTTTTCCCTCTCCAGAAAATGTATTTTCTGGTGAAAAGTGGACTCTCCATTGGACTCTTCAGTTTAGGGACTGCGAGTTGACTTTCTATAGGTGTAGTTCACCATCTTGCTTATTCTCTTATCCTCCTCTCCCATCCTCCCCCCATGCTATTTGAATATTTACCTCATAGGAGATGCTACTTTAAAAACTTTCTGTGGATTAACTCACTTCTTTATAACAACCTCATGAGATGTTAAGCAACTTGCCCAGGGTTACACAGATAGAAAGTAGAAGAGACAGGATTACATTATTTTGTAAACGTAACTGTTAACGTGTCTTGAGGACCGTAATTTCTGACTAC